ATTTTATATAATTTTTTATATTAAAATTTTAAACACAAAGTTTAAAGTTATTTATTTTGAAAATTTCTAATAAAATTACTTAATAAAGTTAATAAAAAATATCTTAACCTATATTTTTTATAATATAAGTAAGCTATAAAAATTAATATTTAAAATTTTATTAAAATTTTTTAAAAACTTATTAAAATTTTAAATATGCAGGCAATTTAATTTAAGGAATAATTTTAGACTATTTAATAGTTTTTTGTCATTTTTGAATTAGACTTATTTGATTTTAGTCACATGATCTAGGATTCTGGTTTTGAATTAATCTGCCCTAGCATAGCAGTAGCACAAAACCCAACATTTCCGCACAGTACGTTTTTTACATAAATATTACGTGTAAAAGTGTAAAAGCAAATAGACCATATAATTGAATGCGTTCTTATCGTAAAACTCCTTCGTCTTAGCATCTGGAATATCAAAGATGGATCCGCTTAAAGATTATTATATGGATCCCGATTTTGATCCCCGGAAAGTAACGATGTCAAGGTTACGCGAGATATTTTTATTTAACGGAGTACATTATACTGGCAATGAGCGAAAGGCCGACCTCGTCAGTATGTTTGAGGACCACATTCGCCCACGAATACCCGAGCTTCGACGGGAGGAAGAAGAGCTCAAACAAAAGGCGGAGGCGCAACACAGATCGGCTGAGAAAAGGAGAAGACACAGTAGGACCAAGTCTCTGGACGTTCCTAAAACACCTGAAACAATAAAGGTACGAAAAACCAAGGCAGCATAATGGTATTAATTAATACCGACTATCCGGTGCTTACTGACTGTCATGTTGTTTATAATAGTCCACCGGAAAACGTGGTACCGGACGTGGTAAACAAAAGAATAAAGGAAAGGTCACGTCTGTGGAAGATGAAAATATTCTTAATACGCCAACCCCTATTTTTTCTGATCAAAAATTTGAACCACTCGTTCCCGATGACGATGAACAAACACCAGTCGCAGAGGTTTCAATAGATGATCGGGGCGCAAATAGGAACCAACGTGATCAAAAGAGGGATATCTCACCAGATGAGCGCGCTAAAGGACAAACCTACTCCGTTCGTAATGTTTCTTTTACAGAAGTTCCAAAATTGTACCCAGAAGTTTCGAAAAGTCCTAATGAAGAAGAGTACCAGCCTGTTCGATGTGACGCCATCGCATACGCTTACCGTAATCCTAATCGTATCCCGCGTAGTCAAATTAGTCGTATTCTCCCACCTGATGTTGATTTCTCTGCCCTAGAGCCTAGTTCATCTAAAGGATGGCTTTTTATTTTCACCATTCTTTTGTTTTTAACGGGGGCTGCTTTCATGATGATTCGAATCAGAGTTGAAATTGGATTTTGCGATAGCAGTGATTTATTAAACAATACTTTATCTGTCGTGTCTAATATTCCAGAAGACGATAGTGAGTTCAGAATTTATTTTTCCGTTACCTAACGTGAAGCTCTCGCCCATTATAATGCTTACCATTCTCTATTTTAATAGAAAATTTTATTGAATCTAATTGTACCCCCTGTCCTCCTCATGGTCATTGTTCCGACAGAAGACTTGTATCCTGTGATGAAGGATATGCTGTCTCATCTTCTTCCCTCGATTTTTTGAGAACATTTACTAGTCGTTGTGTGGTTGATCTTAACCGTGTGCAAAAGATCGAAACGTACACCAGACTTCTCAAGGATGTCGTTGCCATTGAAACTGGTCGGATGAAATGTGGCGCGGGAGGCAGCGAGCTCGTTCTTTTCGAGTCTTTGAAAGAAAATCTTCGTGCCAAAAAACTTGTAATTAATAAGTTTTAAATATTTTGTTGTATTATTTGCAAATGGGAATTTTTAGTGATCGTGCTTTTTTTTTTTTAAAAAAAAAATAGCCATCGCACGATTCAGAGGTGGATTTTGAGAAATACACATTAATTGCATTAGAGAGACTAAGGACTGATGAAGACGTGGAAATTAGTACCGAAGAAATGTGAGCAATTGTCGTATCTATCGAAAATACGCGCGTTATTTATGATCATATAATCATTTTTCTAGTGATTCGGAGGGCCGCATGTACATCATTTCCAAGAAGCCAAAGATTGACATTTTTTGTCGCATGAAGAAAAATGGGAAAGATTTTTTGCGAGAGAACTCCAAGATGATCATTAGTATGTTTTCACCTGTGGGTTTATATTGTTGAACCATAACCATTCCCGTTGCTGATGGTGCTCATGTTTATGTGCCAGTATGCTTTATTGGTTTCCTCATCATACTTAGGATGGTTTTCTACATCAAACGAAAAAAGTGGGAAGCGTACCAGGTTCGTAAAGCC